TACGTGCGTGTGTGCGTGCGTGTGTGTGTGTGTGTGCGTGCGTGCGTGCGTGCGTGCGTGTGTGCGTGCGTGTGTGTGTGTGTGTGTGAGTGAGTGAGCGGATTCGTTGTGTGACCGCACGGTCTTAGAATGAGGACGGTTTCTTGAGGATATGGGACTGTGGGGGAGGGGGGAGGGGGGGTGGACTCGGGATTGATAGCTGCGGCAGGGGGATGTGCGGGTGGGGCGGCTGGGGGCCAGCTGCCCCACGAAGGGGCAAGGGCGGAGGGTCCTACTGTGTGGCGGACGGACGGACGGACGGACGGCTACTGTTGCTCGGGTCGTTAACCTCAAATCTGTGTTTTCGGTGCCCGGTTGCCCGCTCCCTAAAACCCCCTCCCCCTCCTCCCCCCTCCGCCCCTTTCCACCCATTCGTGGTCCGTCCTTCCCCCCCCCCACCAACCCTCGCTCCCCCATGTGCCCCCAGGCTATTCTCCGCGAGGCCGCTGAGGTGGTGCTGCCCACCAGCGGGGAGCCCGTGCAGCTCAGAGTGGGTGAGTGGGGGGGAGGGGGCCGGTTTATGTGTGTGTCAGCGTTTGTTAGACGGCGTGCGGGTAAATGAAGGTAGCACGAGAAATCATGGATATGCCCGTGAACGGTTGAGGTATGTGTGTATGTATGTATGTTTTGCATGCATGGGCGGATGATATGCATCGCACTGTTGCCAGGCTCTGTCAACAGCACGCGGCCTTCCCCCTCCCTCACACCTCTCCCTCACCCCCGTCCCTCACCCCACACCCTCACCCCACACCCTCACGCCTCTCCGTTCCTCACACCCCCTTCCTACTCCTCTCAGGCCTTCATTCGGGTCCCGTGATGAGCGGTATTGTGGGTGACAAGATGCCCCGGTTCTGCCTCTTCGGGGACACTGTGTGAGTGGGGCTGCCGGGGGGGTGGGGGGGTCCAGGGGCGCAAGAGGGGGCAAGGAGCAGCACAACGGCCACCACAAGGAACCTGAAGGAGACCCTCGGTGCAAGGGTGATTCGTGTGTGTGTGTGTGTGTGTGTGCCTTGTATTTAAAGCCGAAGCTCCAGGGCATTGGCCTAGCAGGGGCCCCCGAACCGTCCGCGGGGCGGTTGGGGCCCGGGTCATCTGCATGGGGTGGAATAATGCACCTTCTCCCCCCCCCCCTGTGGAACCATTACGAGCCCCAAATCTCCGGGGGCCCACACACGCCTCCCGCTCCCCTCCCGCCAAATCTCGAGTGATCCTCCCGGGCCCCAGCCTCCAACACCCTCCCTGCCTCCAACATCTCGAAGCTCTCCAGCCCACGCGGCTCCCCGCCCGGGACCTGGACCTCCCCTTCCCCTTCATTGAGGGTCGGGCCGTCGCTGCGTTTGCTTTTCCATACACCCCCTCCTCTCCTCTCCTCTCCCCTTTCTTCTCCTCTCCTCCGGGGCCCCTCCCATCCCCCCAGCAACACCGCCAGCCGCATGGAGAGCACATGTCCCCCGGGCGACATACACGTATCCGCGGACACCCGGGCGCTGCTGCAGAACGAGGCCTGGCTGCCCACCGGGGGCGTGATGGTGAAGGGCAAGGGGCTGCTGGAGACGGTGAGGGGCAGTGGCCGGCCCAGTGGCCGGGGGGAGGAGGGGAACGGGAGGGAAGGGGAGGGAAGAGAGGGGGAAAGCAAAGGGGAACAGATGGGGGAAAACTGCCGACACCCGGGCTATGGCTCCTGCTACTGCTACTGCTACTGCTACTGCTACTGCTCCTGCTACTGCTACTGCGTGAACAAGAAAGCCAAATGCGGAACACTGTAACATATTGGAGCTCCCTCACCATCGCACATCAGATTACATCACCTCGTCCACCTCACTGCCGTACCTTCTCCTCCTGCTGCCCCACCAGCTCCCACCCCAGGAGGGGGTGGGGCCCGCACCCCCAAGACCTGCCCCCCCTCACCAGGTTCGGGATACACCCACTCCCCGACTCCCCCCACCCCCACCCACTCCCCCCACTCCCCCCACCCCTCCCGAACCCAACCGCCCGGGCTGCAGTACGTGTGGGCGGGCCATGCCGCGGAGGAG